CAAATTATGCAGAAAGCATCAAAAGAAGATGGAAGGATGGGTGAAAGGTGACATTTTGAACTTCTGCAAAGATTTACAGTCTCAAAACCCTATACAGGGTTGCTGTGAGTTGGAGCCAACTCAACAGCACTTAACAGCAGCAATGACAACCCTCTGCTACCTTCTGTCTGCTCCATAGTTCTATTAATAATAAACAACTCTAAAATAAAATAATCAGTTGGAAGGTGAAAAGGAGAGTAAGAGCTCTCATCAAAATTCTCACAGGACAGTCCTTGCTACCCTAGAAAATCAGCAGATGCTTTGTGGTGATGGAAAAAAATTCCCCAGTGCAGCTTCCCTCGCCTTTTTCTCACCAATACAATTTTCCATTTTCTCAGAACTTCTTTATAATAAATATCTGTGATTATCCTGTATAGTTCGTGAAAATCTATCAAGATTACCCTTTGTTGTTGTTAAGTACCAATGAGTAGGTCCCAACCCATAGCAAACTTGTACAGGGTTTCCAAGGAGCAGCTGGTGAGCTTGAACCACCAACCTTGAAGTTCAAACCGATTTTGCAGTACAGCGCATTAACCCACAGCCCCACACAAATCTCCACAACTTCTGAGATGATCTCTCTGCCTTAAATCGAACTGACCCAGCAGATCCCCTTGGAAGCCACCGTTTTAACTGAATCTTGTTGTGAAGGCACCTTCATGAGACTGGCACAGGGAGGGCCTGGCCATGTTTCATTCTGAGTCAAACCAACTCAATGACAACTCACAACAACAAATGAGCCTAAGACCAAAGTGTTAGTAAGAGAGCATCTACTGATCAAAGAGGCATGTTTAAACAAATTTTGTTTTGAATAAACCCATGAAAGTACGAATTAAAAAAAAAAAAGATGAAGGGAATACACAAAGTCGCTGTACCAAAAAGAAATGGTCAATGTTCAATCATTTCAAGAGGTAGCATATGATCAAGGTCAATGACCCTGATGGAGGAAGTCCAAGGTGCATTGAAGGAAGTGGCAAAGAACAAGGCACTGGGAATTGATGGAATAAATAGTGAAATCTTTCAAGAAAGTGAGGGTGCACTGGAGGCACTCACTCATCTATGCCAAGAAATTTGGAAGACAACTACTACCTAGTTCACTGACTGGAAGAGATTCATATTTGTGCCCATTCCAAAGAAAGGTGACCCAAAAGAATGCAAAAATCATTGGACAATTATCATTCATATCTCATGTAAGTAAAGTTTTACTAAAGGTAATCCAAAAATGGCTGCAAACATACATTGACAAAGAACTTCCAGAGGTTCAAACTGGATTCAAAAGAGGATGTGGAACGAGGGATATCATTACTGATGTCAGATGGATCTTGACTGAAAGCAGAGAATACCAGATAAATGTTTGTGGTGAGTATGTGCCGTGGAGTCAGTTCCAACTCATTGCAACCCTGTGTAGGGTTTCCGAGTCTGTAAATCTTTACGCGAGCAGAAAGCCTCATCTTTCTTCCACAGAACAGCTGGTAGTTTTGAACTGCTGACCTTGAGGTAAGCAGCCTGACTAGTAACCACTATGCTACCAGAGCTCCTACTACGCAAAGGCTTTCAATTGTGTGGCTCATGACAAGCTACGGACAACACTGCAGAGAATAAGTGTTATGGAACACTTGATTGTACTCATGAGGAGCCTGCACATAGACCTAGAGGCAGTTGTTCAAACAATACAAGGGAACATGGAATGACTTAAAATTAAGGAAGGAGTGCACCAGGGTCCTATTCTTTCACCATACTTATTCAACCTGTGTGCTAAGCAAATAATCCAAGACGCTGGATTATATGAAGAAACAAGTGGCATCATGATGGGAGAAAGACTTGTTAACAATAAAAATCTATTGTAAAAGACAAAGATGGTCACTACATAATAACAAGAGGGTCAATCAAGCAAGAAGACACAACAATTGTGAATCTATCTGTAACTTATCAACAGTGTACCAAAATACATGAAACAAACACTGACCATTATGAAAAGAAATATACACAGCTATTAAAATAGTAATAGAGAACTCCAACACACCACTTTCAATTCTAGACACAGCCTCTAAGGGGAAGATCACTAAGAACTTAAATTGATAAGCCAACTGGACCTAACAGACATATATTTAGACACTCCATCCAACATCAGGACAATATGCATTCTTCTCTACATTTCATTATAATATTTGACTTTGTCTTCTCAAACTGCCCTTTGAATTTTTCTGTTCAGGTCTTTTACCTCCTGATTTCTTCCATTTGCTTTAGTATCTCTAAGTTTCAGAATCTCTTCTGACATCTATTTTAGTCTTTTCTTTCTTCCTTCTCAATGATCTTTTGCTTTCTTCCTGTATGATGTCATCCCACAACTCTTCTGGTCTTTGGTCATTAGTGCTTAATGAATACAATCTTTTCTTCAGATAATCTCTAAATTCAGGTGGAATGTGTTCAAGGTCTTATTTTGGCTCTCAAACACTTGTTCTAATTTTCTTCAGCTTCAGCCTGAACTTCTATATGGTCTGTTCCACAGTCTGTCCCTGGCCTTGTTTTGGCTGATAGTTTGGGGCTTTTCCACTGACTCTTTTCACAGATGACGTTAATTTGATGTGTGTGTTCTCTATCTGGTGAGGTCCATATGTATGGTCACCTTTTATGTTGTTTAAAAAAGATACTTGCAAAGAATTCACTTGTCTTTCAAAACAATATCAAGCAATCTCCTGCATCATTTCTACCACCAAAGCCTATTTTTCCACTACTGATCCATCCTCTTTGTTTCCAATCTTTGCATTCCAACTGCATTGTAATTACCAATAGTCTTGATTGCATATTTGATTAATTTCAGACTGAAGAAGTTGGTAGAATTCTTCAGTTTCACCACCACTGCATTTAGTAGCTGGCACATACTAAATCTGAATAACAGTGAAAGTAATTAATCTTCCTTGGAGGCATATGGATAGTATCCTATCACAAACAGCATTGTACTTCAAGACAGATCTTGAAATGTTCTTTTTGATGATGAATGCAATGCCATTCTCTTCGATTTGTCGTTTCTGGCATAGTAAACCATGGGTTCCGAGGCTCACCTGTTGGGTTTGAACTCCTGACCGTAGTTCCTTAGAAGAAGTCAAAATTGGAATTTAAAAATCCCTAAAGTCACCAGGCTTACTGGTCTGATAAGAGACCGGTGGAACCCTCAAGGCTATGGCCTTTAAACAGTCTTCAACCCTTCAACTGAACTCATCCTGTGGGATCCATGTGACAGGTCTATAAGGTGAACAACACTACCAGGGAGATACGCACACTATTAACAAACCACCAAACAAAACCCAAAGTGCAGGCATTTGCCAAGAGATGAAGCTTGGAAGACAGGAAGGTATTGGAAAGAAGGACAAAGGGAAATGTAAACACAGGGAGAAGTGGGCAGAACACTGTTACATTGTGAGGATTGTGATCAAGTCACACAACAAACTGTGTATACACTGTTCAAAGGAAAACCAATTCACTCGAACTTTTCACCCAAATAACAACAAAAATTCTGATTAAAGTGTGGGGTAAGAAGTCTCTAAAATGAAAAGGTAAATAAATTCCTAGAATCAAACAAAAATGAAACACCACATACAGAATGTTTTTTTGGGATCCAGCCAAAAACAGCAGTCTGAGGGAAAATTATAACAATAAATGTCTACATTAAAACCAAGATCCAAAATCGTTAACTTAAACTGACAACTGGTACAAATTGAAAAGAAGAGCAAAAGAACCCAAAAACTACCAGAAAAAAAAATAGTAAAGATCAATCAGTGCAGAAATAAGTAAAATTGATGATAGGAAAAGAAAACACACACACACATAAATGGCAAATAACTAAATTAAGACATGCAACTGGTAACAGTATGTCACATCTAACAGAGATAAACTCAGAGTGAATACTATTAACGATTGGGCTACAACTGTTCATAGTCTTCCGGTATCGGAAAACATGGATAAAATTGACAAATTCCTAGAAACGCACTACCTACTCAAACCAAGGGAGTGTAAGAGCTCTGCTAGCGTAGTGGTTACGAATCAGGCTGCAAACCTCAAGGTCAGCAGTTGGAAACCACCAGCTGCTCCGCGGGAGAAAGATGAGGCTTTCTGCTCCCGTAAAGATTTACAGCCTCGGAAACCCTCGGAACCGACTCCGCGGCATATAACAACAACAACAACAGTGGCTCGACAGAATAAGCACTGGACTGAGAACCACAAGGTCCACGGTTCGAGTACGTCAGCCACTCCGCGGGAGAAAAACGAGGCTTTCTACTCCCGCTTAGATTTAAAGCCTCGGAAATCCTACACAGGGTCGTCATGAGTCGAAACCGACTTGACGGCACGTAACCACCACGACAACACCCAAACTAAACAGAGGTAGAAAATTTTAACAGACCCAATACAAAAGAGTTAGAAAATGTCAACAACGAACTGTCAGCAGGAACAAAAAGCCAGGATCAGATGGCTACACTGGAGACGTCTACCTTCTCGCTCACTCACTGGGCCCCCAAGCACCTTACTCACCGACCTCCTCCACTTCCGACCCTCGGAGCCCCCATCACAGACCCCCAGGCTTCCACCCTACACAAACCTCTACTCCACAGGCCCACCAATCGCGGGCGCCGGCCTCGAACCTGATCCCCGCAAGCCTCACCCCAGGCCATGACCCGTCGGTCACACGACCTAGCTCCAGCACTGACCACCTCCGAACGTCCGCCTTCTAGACAGCGACCCCACAGGGCTGGAATCAACAAGCCCGAATCGAAGGGACCGTCCCTCAGCAAGCTCCCTGCCCCGCGCGCCCGCCCAGCGCGAGCGGCCGTCCCTGGGGAACGCAGCAGTTGCACGCGGACTGGCGGCTGGGGGCGGGCCGGGGTCCATGAGCAGTACCCTCCTTCCACACTCACCCCTCAGGACAAAGAGTAAGAAAACGCCTGCCGAAAGCTTCGGAGGTCGTGCGAATGCGCCTGCGCGAGAGCAAGGGTCCTTTCAAACCCTATTTCCCAGAGCACCGCGCGGCACGTCGGCGTTCCACGCGTCTGCAAACGTCGGTCGCTTAGAAACGCTGAGGACGCCTCAAAGCCGCACAGTTGCCAACGTTATGAGGTTATGGATGTGCATTTGTGAGAAATAGAAAAATTTAGGATAAAAAGAAGGCCCTGAGTCATTTAGATGGTTAACTAACACAAAGGTTGACGGTTGGAACCCACGTGCTCTCCGCCCACCCCACCCCACCCCCGCAGCCTCTGAAGAAAGATCTGGAGATAGGAAAAAGTAGTCATTGAAACCCTTATGGAGCACGATTCTACTCTGACACAAATGGAGTTCCCAAGAGCGAGAGTCAACTAGGACGCAACTGGTTTTGTTTCTCTTCTCCCATTTTTGCTCTTCAATCTCAATTCCCCACACTCTCAGTCACCAACAGAGGCTACCTGGTTGCCTAACCAGACCCTTGTGAACCTGAGCCACCCCTTAGTGTATGCAGAGACACTCGGACCAGATTGCAGCCCTTGTTCGTTTACTATCACAAATAGCTAAGTGAGTACCGAGAGCACCCAGAAGCGTCACTTGGAATCACATATATTTCTCCCTGACCCCAGTAGTAACAGGGGCTTTTACTTCTCATGATTGTATACCACCACAGTTCCTCTCCAAGCTTAATGCCGCCTGCACACAGAATTCCAAAGGGGCTGGGCACTTGTTGTTAAGTGTGGAAGAGTCGTTTCCAACTCATACCTATCTTAAGTACAACGGAATAAAACACTGCCTAGTTCTATGCCATCCTTTCATTGTTAGGTCTGAGCCCATTCTGTTGCCACTGTTATCGATCCATCTCATTGGGGATCTTCTTTTTCACTGATCCTCCACTTTTCCAAGCATGATGAAGCCCTTCTCCAGGGACTGATTCATTATAATATCATGTCCAAAGTATGCAAACAAAAATCTGACCATCCTGGCTTCTAAGGAGCATTCTGGTTGTACTTCTTCCACACAGGTTTGTTTGTTCTGCTGGTAGTACTAGGTACTTTAAATATTCTCCTCCAACACCATAATTCAAATGCATCAATTCTTTTAAGATCTCCCTTATTCATTGTCTAACTTTCTCATGCAAATGAGGCGGCTGAAAATACCACAGTTTTCATCAGTCAGACTTTAGTCCTCAAACTGACATCTTTGCTCTTTGTAATTCTCAACAGATCTTGTGCAGCAGATTTGCCTAATGTAGTTGTTGTTGTTAGGTGCCATCGAGTCGTAACCGACCCACACTAACCTTAGGCACAGCAAAACGAAACACTGCCCAAACCTGGGCCAACCTCACTACTGTTGCCAAGCTTGAGTCCATTGATGCCGCCACCTGGCCAGTCCATCTTGTTAGGGGTCTTCCTCTTTTTCTCTGACCCTCCATCTTACAAAACATGACGCAGTAAGTCATTTGATTTATTGACTGCTGCTTCCATGAAGGTTGATTGTGGATCCAAGCAAAATGAAGTCTTTGATAACGTCAATCCTTTCTCCATTTATCATGATTTTATTTATTGGTCCAGTTCTGAGGATCTTTATTTTCTTTACATTGAGGTGCATTCCATACTGAAGTCTTTGATCTTCTTTAGTATTTTAAGTCCTTTTCACAGTCAGCAAGCAAAGTTGTGTCATCTGCATATCTCAGATTGTTAATGAGTCTTCCTCCAAACTCTTCTTCATATCATCCAGCTTCTCAAACTATTTCTCAGCAAACAGACTAAGTAAAATGAAAGGATATGACCGTGGCACCAACTTTCCTGATTTTAAACCTTTCAGTTCCTCTTGTTCTGTTCCAATGACTGCCTTAGTCTATATACAAACTCCTCATGAGCACAATCAAGTGTTCTGGACTACCCATTTCTTCATAATGTTATCTAAGGCTTGTCATGATTTACACGTTACCGTTGATTTGGTTCTGACTCATTGCGATCTTGTATAGAGTTTCCAGGGATCATCTGGTAGGTTTGAACTGTCAGCCTTGTGGATCACAGTCCAGTGCTGATCCTACAGTGCCATACCAAGATGTCTTCCAATTGGTTGGCCAGGTACTTCTTTTCCAAATTTTTTGTCATCGATGATTGAGTGCCTTCAGTGCTGCGTAAGTTTGTTGAAAGTTTCCAATTGATATTCCATCATTTCCAGGACCCTTGTTTTCATCTATGCTTTCAGTGAAGCTTGGACTTCTTCCTTCAGTATCATAGGTTCTAGATCATATGTTACCTGCTTAAATGGCTGAATGTGGACCATTTCTTTTTAATATAGTGATTTTATGTTTTCCTTCCTTTTAATTTTTTTTTTAACTTTTTACTGTGAATTGTGTGAAAGCTTAGACAAGATCATCAGTTTTACATTCAACAAATCATACACTTTGCTACATCTCAATGATAACAATCTCTCCATGCAGCATCACTTGTCCCCCTTTCTCCCTGGGGTTCATAGTTCCATTCCATCCACCTTCCCAGCCCTTCTCAACTTTGTCCGTAGGTAAATGTTACCCTTTTGATTTTGAATGATTGACTACTCCATGGTAAGCATACCTTCCATGAGCTGTTGTCCCCCCTGTATACCTATCTACTGCTTGACTGAAAATTGGGTCACAAAGGTGAGTTCAAGACCTGAAACATGGTGGAAAGTGATATTCTCAGGTTCCTGAAGTCTCTTTCTTACCAATAAGCATGGACTTTTTTTAAAATAATTTTTTCATTCTACATTTTCTGCCACTCTATCAGAGAACTTCTAATGTAATTCTTTTCAGTACAGTTGGTAATGGTAGCTGGGCACCATCTAGTTCTTCTGGTCTCAGAATTGTGGAGACTGATGTCCACATGGTCCATTAGTCTGTTAGACTCACTGATTCCAAGCGTCTTCATTCTATCACTCTTATTTCTTCTGCAGATGAAGAAACAAATAGCTACCTGCACCTCAGACGGCCGCTCATGAGCTTTTAAGATCCCAGACACTACTCACCAAACAAAGATGTAAAACATTGTCTTTGTGGACTATGTTACGCCAATTGACCAATGTGTCCCCTTAGACTATGGTCCTGAGTCCCCAAGTCCAGAAATTCATTGCTGTAAGATGTTTGATAATATCTAAGTTTTCTTCATTTTGCCT